AACGGATAGATGCTCAACCTGACGACACGAGACAGGCAGAGAATTCCACCTATCAGCGCCAAGGAAAGAAATGGAGAACATGCCATATCTAGTGGTAGCAGCGGGCAAAGAAAGTGAAGAGAATGATTGCCCTCTAGTGCGCCTCTCGGTGCAAGTAGCAGCCGACTGGAGGGTGAACATTGAGGAAAGAAGAGGACTTGTAAGCTGATGAATACAGCGGAAAACAAAAATAAAAGCCTAGAGTACCAAACGTCCTGTTTGATGATCAGCTGGCTTAGTTTTTCTCCACCTCTATCCTAATTACATCAGTCCCCAATTTCATTTATTACTGCTTTCTATCTGCATTCGCCACCTTTTCATTGGGCAGATCTGCCCGTTTGGTTTGCGAATTAAAATAAACACAACAACAACAACAACCTTCAGCCACCTTCTAACGTACTTCTGTGCGTATCACCCATTTTGTCTATCGTACAGACTTTCAAGTGGTCCTGAACTCGACCCGGGTTGAAATTTCTCTTGTAAACCAAGCCTATCAGTACAGCATTAGGGCATGTTCGATTGGTAAGGATCGGGATCGGGATCCAGATATCAGATCCCTCGGATCCAACTGAACACTGTATTTTGAACCTTGACTGTTGCCATGTTGAAAATGGCGCTCTGAAGGCACCCAAAAGGGTGAACGTCGTACTCATCGCGTGCGTCGTACACAAAAGTCAACAAGCTCTATCTCCATCCACGTGTGCGTACCACAAAGTGCGTACCACAATGTGTACAAAAATGATTTTTACCCGCCATATACGCACAAAGGTCACATTTGGATCCGTTGGACCCGACGCTGCGACACAACGAGGTGAGGGACATCACCGCCAGAGCTCTAAGGCAGGTCACTCACAACGTGACAGTGGAACCCCACCTCCAGCCCGTCACCGGAGAGGCCTTCCGCCATCGCACAGCTGTCACGGAGGAGCAAGCTCGGCTGGACGTTGCGGCTAGTGGTGTGTGGGGTGGCCGATTCGAGCGCATCTTTATTGATGTACGGGTGTTCAACCCTTTTGCGTCTTCGAATCGTGCCACCTCGCTCGCTGCTAGCTACAGACGCCATGAACAGGAAAAGCGCCGGAAGTACGAGGAGCGAGTACGTGAAGTTGAGCGTGCCTCCTTCGTGCCCGTTGTGCTCTCTGCCTCTGGTGGCTATGGCAAGCATGCCAATTAGGCCCCAGCGGCAGATGCTAGCTAAATGTTGCCAAGATGCTTTTTGGGTTGCTAGCTGACAACTCAGAAAGATGCTAGTTTGGATGCTAGACAACACGAATTATGCTACCTATTAATGGTAATGGTGAAACATTTGGGTTGAAAACGGTGTTCCGTGCTATTTATGAATTCTCACAAAGCAGGTATGCAAAAAGAGTTTTTAAAGGTGCGATGTGTGCATCATGTTGCTATGGAAATATGTGCAATACAAAAGAGCAAATACCAAGAAGTACCAATGGCAATGTGGGTCTTGGTCACAACTAGGTAATGCAAACGAATTGAATGTAGTGCATGCAATTATCAATGTGGTAGTACCGTAATACTAGTTTCATAGTGTAATCTAGACCGAATTCCACATCCAGAATGCCAAAATTGGCAAAAATGTATCGGATGCCGGTAAAAACTGCTGTTTATGCTAGCATCGTGTGGAGTCACAAAAAGGCCCTTTTATGCTACTTTGGGTGCTAGCATTTGCCGCTGGGGCCTAATGCCAATGCTCTTTTCACGCGGATTGCCTCTCACCTGGCTGAGAAGAGCTGTGTTCACAACTGGCGCGTGGACGCGGTACGCTTGCGGTTCATGCGCCCCCAAACGCGCGCTCAGCCTTTCACAAAAAACAGCAATCCGAGTCGTATTTAGCGCGTGCGACACCTTCGAGTACTAATTTTTTGACCCCGCCAGTCAAAGTGACTGGCATGTACGCTGATACGCGCCTGATACGCGCTGAAAATTCCAACATGTTGAAATTCCATTTCGTCTTTGGCACCTATGATCAGGGGATGGCCCACGCCTGGTAAAAAAAAAAAAAAAAAAAAAAAAAAAAAAAAACAATGAGAAGTTGCGTACAAATCGTGTACAAACTAAACAGACTATGGATTCGAACATAACAGAGTGGAAAACCGGAATCCGAGAAAACGATAACATGCAAAATCATGAAAAAGTGGGGGGGGGGGGGTACTGAAGCAGAACAGTAGCCAAACACACCACGGATAGTTACCGAAAGCACTCTGCAGCAGCAAGGACCACAGAAGCATCAGAGTCAATGACTCTCTGGCGGGCATCTTGAGACCGTGGCCTGCGGTGACCACGGAGGCTGGCATTGGAGGCACGAACAAGAGAAAAGGAAACCCTTGACCTAATAAAGGCAAGAAGTGAGGAGAAGGGCTCCTTTCTCTTGTCGGCGAGCATAGAGGCGACACGCTTGAAAAAAGTGGAGGCGGACTTGCCGTAGCCGCCGGAAGCGCTGAACACAATGGGAGAAAAAGACGCGTGTTCAACTTCCCGGACGCGTTCTTCGTACGCGCGCCTTTTCTCGGCCTCATGCTTCCGGTAGGTGGCTGTGATGGACTGTTGGCGGTTGGAGCGGGCGTGCGGGTTGAATACCCGGATGTCCAGTAGTGCCCGTTCGAAACGTCCACCCCAGACACCCGATGCGGCCACATCCAGACGGGCACCGTCCTCGGAGATGGCGGAGCGGTGACGGAAGGTCTCACCGGTTAGCGGCTGGAGATGTGGCTCGACCTGGACATCATGGGCCACTTCACGCAGGAGAGATGCGGTGAGATCCCGAAGGTCATTATGCCGCATGGCGGGGTAGCCACCAGTTGTCCATTTCGGCGCGTTTCCGTACGCATGGCGCCCCAAAAGCCAGCAAAAATACGCACAAACGCGTGGTTTCACGCGTACACGCGCCAGTTGTGAACACAGCCATACGGGCAGGTTATCTCCTTGCTGCGCTGCCGCCTTGGGTTTGCCCTGGTGCGTTGTGGTGCTATGTGCCTGCGTGGCTCAAGGAGCATGTTTGCTCCTGCCATGCCTGAGTCCCCTGCTGTGCTAGTGGTGACAGACTCTGTAAATACTGTATCTGATGATTCGTTTTATGTGTTGATTCTTCACAAAATGTGTTATTTTGCCCGTACAAGAGGCTCAGTGATCTTAAAAAATAAAAAATAAAATAAATAAAAAAAGGATCCGTTGGATCCGTTCAAACCTGCTCCCCGAGGAGGGTTGACCGGATCCAAATCCGAATGATCCGGATCCGGATTCGACCAATCGAAAGGGTGCGAATCCAGTGGATCGGGTGGGTCGGGATCCCGATCCTTCCAATCGAACATGCCCTTAGACACCCGTAGCAAACAATGGCAGCGCTATATTTTACTGTACTCGTACCTTGATCACCCAAATTAAAATAGCGTTGAAGCTCCCGATAATTATTAAGCTGTGTTCACAACTGGCGCGTGTACGCGTGAAACCACGCGTTTGTGCGTATTTTTGCTGGCTTTTGGGGCGTCATGCGTATGGATACGCTCCGAAGTGGAAATTCCAACATGTTGGAATTTTCAGCGCGTATCAGGTGCGTACCAGCGTACATGCCAGTCACTTTGACTGGCGGGGTCCAAAAATTAGTACTCGAAGGTGTCGCACGTGCTGAATACGACTCGGATTGCTGTTTTTTGTGAAAGCTTGAGCGCGCGTATGGGCGCGCATGAACCGCAAGCGTACCGCGTCCACGCGCCAGTTGTGAACACAGCTTAATTAGCCCCCATTTTCTTTCGACGCGTTTGCTGTGCAGTGAAGCCGAGACCCTAGGTCGGTGGAGCACATCAGACCCCGTCACCACGTCCACGATTCATGCCTGCGATGCTGCACCGCTGCTTTGCATGTCATGATTGGAAGCTTTCTGTCACTTTCCTTGGCTCTGACCGCTGGAATGCCCTCCCAGCGGAGGTCCGCTCAAGTTCTTCCTTGCATACCTTCCGTAATTCTGTTCTTCATTTTTTAGGGTACCCTGTCAAAAGGCCTTAGGCCTGTGGGGATTGCCCTATCAAAAATTTAATAATAATAATAATAAGAAGACCATAGGTCTGTGGGAAACACCCTAGTAAAATAAATAAAATAATAATAATAATAATAATGTCTCTTTCCCTCAAACCAGTCAATAATAATAATAATAATAATAATAATAAAGCTGTAGCCTTAGGGCATGTTCGATTGGTAGGATCGGGATCCCGATCCACCGGATCCACTGGATTCGCACCCTTTCGATTGGTCGGATCCGGATCCGGATCCTTCGGATTTGGATCCGGTCAACCCTCCTCGGGGAGCAGGGTTGACCGGATCCAACGGATCCAAATGTGACCTTTGTGCGTATATGGCTGGTAAAAATCATTTTTGTACACATTGTAGTACGCACGCGTGGATGGAGATAGAGCTTGTTGACTTTTTGTACGACGCACGGGATGAGTACGACGTTCACCCTTTTGGGTGCCTTGTGAGCGCCATTTTCAACATGGCAACAGTCAAGGTCCAAAATAAAGTGTTCAGTTGAATCTGAAGGATCCGAGGGATCTGAAATCTGGATCCCGATCCCGATCCTTACCAATCGAACATGCCCTAAGTAAAAAAAAAAAAAAAAAAAAAAAAAAAGCTGCAGCGTAAAAACGTTATGCATATATGGGGGCTGATTTATCGTTGTGACCAACGGTACGTGTTTTGGCCAAATATTGCATAGTCCGTACGCATTTCACCTTGTATCGCGTATATGGTGACAAAAATGGTTGTACCGCGCGAAATCAAAACTATTCTCGTGGCAACAGCGTACTAAAAATAGCGTGCATCCTGCTAAAGGTCGAACTCAAATCACGGTATTTTCCCCCTTACGTTATATCGATAATACCTTTACAGCATAACGTTTATTGCTAAGGGTGTACGTGTCTCAGTAGTGCATGTAGCCGGTACAAGTAGTCCCGCACAGTTCTTCTTTCACAGTCATCATTACCATTGCCAAGAGAAGGAGCACTTTGGCCCTGCTTTTTCGAAAAACACTACTAGTAGTACTGGTATTTCTCTGTACGACCAATCGGCATTTCGCAACAGGAGGGCTGTCGAGAGAGGGAACCCAAATTCCTATGTGGCATAATATCCTTGGATCTCACAGGCTGTTTGCAACGAAGACATCATGAACGCTTCAAACTTGTGTGTAAGTACTCAATATTTCTATAGCTGTTGGTTTTCTTTGTTGTCACTTGTACTGTGTTATCAAGAACATAATTATGATAAGTGCCCAAAAGTGTATAATCTCTAAATCTGCATGCCGTTTAATAGATCCGCAAACAGCGAAAGTTCCACACATCACCTGGTCTAAATCTCACATTGTACTTTCACCTGTCGCGCTGGTCACAGCAAGATGCAGAGTAAATGTTCCAGCTTGTTAAGCAGGGGTCTATGGAATGACAAATCTGGATTGAGTGCGAGCAGACGGTGTAGTGCGAGCAGACGGTGTAGTCCGAGCAACGCCGGCCCAATCAAACAAAACAAGGGTGTAGTTCGCAAAATGTACGCAGATTGAAAAAAGATGATGTAATTGTTGTCAAAAAGCACCAAAGTTGTTGTTTATTTAATTTACATCGCATGTCAAACGGGCAGTTCTGCCCAATATTATGAAAGCTATGACAACGAGTAAGAAGAGTCAGAGATGAGGAGAAAATAAAATAAAAATAAAATACGAAAATGGAAGTAACAGTGAGGGGAGGCAGGGTTAGGACGAGCAGAAAAAGGTTTGTATTATAAACATGGGAAATTGTGGACACAAGGTATGCTATCGATTTCCATGTTTAAAAAAATCCTTGGCTCTCCATCTGAGAAAAAGAGATCTCAAATTTACAAGTCGGGTCATCGTAGCATGATTCTATCGAGCCTTATCAGCAGGTTACGAAAGCCATTACATTTAACAGAATAAAAATACGCGTAGCATGCGTTTGAATCCACCGTCAGATACTAGCGACTTCATATTGTCGGGCAGGCCATTCCAGAGTCGGCAGCTGGCTAGACACCTCGGTTGAAACACCCCCTCCAGCAGCGACTCCACCTACATAGAAAGGTATGCACTCAGCCGTCAGATCAACAGCTTATGCAGATGTTTGCGAGCAATACGGCGAGAAGGCACTCTCCTCAACAGGCAGCTGGAGTTACAGTATTACATCAGAGAGTTCAAAAATCGTCGCCATGACCCACGAGGCTAATGGGCCAGTATCAATAGCTAGTCTGGTAGAACAGCAGTGACGGCTGCACCAGCAGCCACACTCGCTGATCTGATGACTACTAGTGTCTTTGCCGAGATCGTCCATGACACTGCCAGACCAGTCGAGGTGCCCCTACCCGGTGCAGACCTCAATGGCGCTACTCTTTTGGAGTTTGATACCGTCAGCATCGATGCCATCTCGAAGTTGCTTGAATCTCTGGCATCCAGCAAAGCCACCGGCTCTTATGATATTCTGTCCGGCATCCTGAAATCCTGTAGAGATTAAGTCTCGTATCCCCTAACTTTTATCGTCCACCAGTCCCTTAGGTCTGGCATCTTTCCTGCTGCCTACAAAATTGCCCATGTCTGCCCTGTTTACAGATCCGGTGATAAGACTTCAGCCTACATCTACAGACCAATCTCACTGTTACCTATCGCTGCCAAGATCCTAGAGAAGATTGTCCACAAGCAAGTCACTTCGTATTTCACCCAGAATCCAGACCTATCTGCCATAGCAGCTGAACAATTTGCGCACCTCTCACATCATAGCTGTGAGGATGCCCTGACACTTTGCATAGACAGGTGGAACAGAGCACTTGACGACGGTGACCAGTGTGGAGAAGTCTTTGCGGCTATGAGCAAGGCGTTTGACCGTATGCACCCCACAGGTCTACTGGATGAGCTAGCCGCAACTGGCTTAGGCGACACTGTCCTCAATTGGTTCTCAGACAATCTCTCGAATCGCAGCCAGCAGGTTACTGTCAATGGTGAGAAGGGTGACACCAAACCCTGTACAAGAGGGGTCCCCCAGGAGTCTGTTCTCGGACCATTGCTTTTCTGCATCTATATTCGTCAAATACCCAAAATATTTCGCCAGAGTATGGTGCAGCTGCAAGCTGATGATATTGCGTTCTACGTATTCGGCTGTGATGTGGCTACAATCATGCTACGCTTGCAGGATAGTGTGCTGTGGCTAGAGCAATACACAGTTCATGGTGATGCGGGGTCCTGCCCTGCCTGCACTGAGCCCAGCCCTGTACCTGACCTGTAAAGGTATTGTCATTTCCCCTGTCTCTACTGTGAAATACCTCTGTATACTGATCGATGATTTTTTTCTAGGATATGCAAGTAATGCGTTTGTGCACTGTTTGAAAACTACCCCATATAACAGGCTTGTAACGGTCAGCCATATTGCGATGAAGAAAACATTTAGTTTAGATAGAATGACCCCAACTGCATTAGTTCTACAACTGTGTCATCTGCATTCGTTTGAGTAAAGAGTTAATTTGAAACTATACGAATTGTTCTATCACTGCTTGTCATCAATTTCTAGCCCCCTCCTTCAGTCACTATTTCTCCTGCGTTCAGCTGGCCCGCACACAAATGCTCGTATTCGTGGCCAGGATACAGCTGCCTTAGTGTTCCCTACTGTAGAAATTGAGTATGGACTGCACTCGGTTTCATTTCTGGCGGCAGATCGGTGGAATGCTCTTCCTCCAAATTGTCCTCGGACACAATCTGCTGATACTGTTGCTCGCCTCACAAAGATTCATCTACGGTTCCCTGTAACAAGGGCGGGGCCATGCCTGTTGGGACTCCCTAGTCTAAGAAACACTACTAAGGCCATGGCAAAAAATAAAGTTTATTCTCAGGTCATGAGCCTGTGAAAATCGGTGCGAAAATCGTCTGTGCGCCGCCAAAAATCGGTGCGCGCGTACTTGAGAATCAAAGATAATTTTTACCATGGCCTAATACTCCAGTTCTGTGCCCTGCTGGAAGCGCATCATGGCTTCCTTTAAATGCTTTTCTGCTAAATGGGTTTCTGTGGTACAGCGGACTAAAGAATAGGAGACGTGTCACGCAATATTGAATTTTTTTTGTATTTAGAAAGAGGTCTGTCTCGTTATCCAGGAAACGACCAATGAGCAACGTTGCCGCCATGTGCATTATCAAAGTTTAAAGCCAGCTCAATCGTAATTTTACTACTCCTGATATTAACATGAGAGAGCTTGGAAGCTCAGGGTCCTACGCTAAGCTTTTTTTGCCTAGCTCATGCATGTTATTAGAACTGATGGAAATGTTTCTTTCCATTAATTGGCTATAGTGTTTTACGTCGATTATGACGGCTACAATGCCCAACGATACCACAACGAACTGATTGGCTACATCATTGTACTGCAAAAAGTTTCCATCTGTTCGAATAACATGCATGATGAGCTAGGCAAAAAAGCATAGCGTTGGGCCCTGAACGAATTAAAATAACTTTCTTTTTCCATTCGAGGATAATACGACACCGTCCACCACCTTGATGACCCAGGCAAAAAAAGTATAGGGATGTTATAAATTTTTCACCTCTCCTATTTCACTCAAGACATAACCTAGGACTCGAACCCGCACTATCGCACCATAAGCATCCCCCCCCCCCCCCCGATACACTTCGCATACATTCTCATTGTTTCAAGCTGCTGCACGTTATGATCTTGCATTTGAAAGCCCTATTTGAATATTGTGGCCAGTTGTCTCCGATGGTACGGTACGAGACAGGTACGAGATAGCGCCACGCATGCCGACGTACGCGGCGGCACAAACACCCAAACAAACATGGCATTAAAGCTGTGTGGACCCTGGCTAGCGCAATACGTTACTGAAGTAACGCATTTTGCATAGCTACAGGAATAACAAAGTCTGGTAACTCGAACCTCAAAACCAGCATATTTTCTGGGGTTTGGTAATTGGAATGCTCTGGCATACTGGGGTTTGATTTATCCAGATTCTACCTATATTTTTGCACCTCAGCGTTGATTTTCTCATCTTGTCCACAAAATTGGATTGGTTGGCGTCCTTTTGTACGTATACCAATAGTATGAACATAAAAGTTGCGACTTCGGCGGTAATAGTCATGAAGTTGATTGTTCCAACTAGAAACACACGCTTCTTGCCTAACTTTACACTTGACTGACTCACGACTGCCATCCGGAGCACACAAGGAGCACGTCGCACCTTGAAATCGGCAAAACTGCAAGAAAGCACCACTCCCAGTTCGGCAAGAAGCGTGTGTTCTTAGTTGGAACAATCAACTTCATGACTATTACCGCCGAAGTCGCAACTTCTAAGTTCGTATTGTTGTCCCTCACGCAGACGTGCGACTAGTTGTTCGAGGTGACAGCGTTGCAAATAGCTATACTGGCTCTCAATGTCTGTTTAGCGCAACTCCATGAGCGACTCTGACTCACGCTGCTACCTGGAGCTTCACGAGGTGTTTGTCTCGCTGGAAACAAAGCGTCTCTGTGAGTGTGCATCCCTGATGATGGTTTGGCCTGGAGAGCAGTATATAAGCGATGCTTTTCAGGCACAATCTTCCTCAGCCTACTCAAGCTCAACAGATGAGGGGTGAATTCCCCGAAACACTGTGTATTGAGCAGGAAGTGGTGCTTTCTTGCAGGTTTGCCGAGTTGAAGGTGCGACGTGCTCCTCGTGTGCTCCGGATGGCAGTCGTGAGTCAGTCAAGTGTCAAGTTTGGCAAAACACGTGTGTTCCTAGTTGGAACAATCAACTTCATAAAAATATTATGTTTAGGTAATTGATAACACCGCTGTGTTGTATTTTGGAGTTCCTAGCAGAAGCCGTAACGTTGTCTGTTCTGTTCTGGTTGTGCATCTGGTCATTTCCTTTGGATATTCCCAGCTCTTATCGGTGGCCGTGATTTATATGGTGCTAGCTTGGAGTGAACCTTCCAGTGCCTGTTATCCGTGTTCATGTAGCAACGGAGTTGTCATGTCGTGCCCAAACAATGACAGGATGTGAGTTCTACGTTGTTTGGCGTTTGAAAGCTTCAACTCAAATTTCAAATCAGCAATTGGAAATATTCAGCACTTGTGCCCATATTAGTCGTCACATTGAACACTACCGTAAAATACCGTTAATAAGCCCCGGGCGTATACTTTGCAGAACGTCAAAAACCGGGCGTATATTTGGGCATGGGCTTATTTTAGGGCATGGGCGTTATTCCGGACGCAATCCGCAGAAGATCAATCTATTAGCAACCCACTAGTTTCAGTCAACCACCATTCACACTGAGCGCGGTACAGGTACATCAAACCACAAAATTTGAGTCCACTTTACAGTTTGTACGCGAACGCACGCTCGCGCGCTGGTCATTTTGAGTCCACTTTACGCCCTGGGCTTGTTTCGGGCATGGGCGCTAAAACGGACTTGAAGTGTACACCGCCTAAACCTGGGCTTATTTTCGGACATAGGCGTTTTTTAGGGTGGGCTTATTTACGGAATTTTACGGTATTCATTGACGGAGTTAATCTTTTGATCCTTTTGAATGAATGATATAAGTTTTGATGCAGATAATACATTAGGGTCTTTTCAATAACATTGTTGCATGCCTTTTGCTATACAAACGTCAAGGTGATACAAAGGCACAAAGTCGCATAGACCAACTGATTTGCCGAGTTGGAAAACCAGCTTTAGAGTTACACAAACAGGCGCTCTTTGTATTGGCCGGTGTTCTCACTGTGCTATGAGATGCTGTAATACGTAAACAAATAAATAAATAAATAAATGGCCAGCGCTCTGCAAAAGCCGACCTTAGGTGCAATTTTGGCGAAATTGAGTTTTTGCTGGATTGTTGACTCATGACCCTTTCTTCAACTTCTGGTGAAGTTTGAGGTGGATTGCATACATATTCAGTTAGTCCAATAACGACTCGGGTGAGCCGCACCCGTGAGGTGTGAGACCACAGCTGAAGCGCCCACCAACCTTTCTCCACTGTAAACACGAAAGAAGCAGCAGAAAGCAGAGTGTCATAGAGCTCTATAGTTGGGGGAGAGAGCTGGGAGCACTGCGCACTTACCATTTATCACAATAGATGATCAGAAAGAGGCGGCGCTTGACGCACCGCCTCAGGTGCTGAAACAGGGGTATCTCCCCTGTAAGGTGAATACCGCAGTGACATGTGAAAGCCATACTGTAATGATACTGAAGTGAAGGGGTGAACCGCAAAGCAAGACCTTTATCTTCTTCCTGTCGAATTCGCTCCCCTGCTGCATACCGACATCATCCGCTAAAATCCAATCATACCAAGTATTGCAAAGGTCATCAGTTGACCTTTTGGACTTTTCAACTCTTATCCAAAACCACCAAGAGAAAAAAAACCAGGGTGAAGAAGACGTCAGTTGTAGAAGCGTTTGTGGAGGAGTTGTTACATTATTCTCAGTAAATAGATATGGCTGATACATTCGGTGTAGACTTGGACGACCGGTCGTGGTCTCTCACCACGGGTCCTTTACTAATAGAAAGGCGGACGCCAATAAGAACTGTTGTGGAGTTGGCAGATCAAAACGCGCCGCAAGAAATTTGGCACGTCGATGGTAGACTCCATTGGGAGGACGGACCAGCTCTTGTTGATAGTAGGGGAGTGTCCGCCTGGTGCTATGGAGGTCGTCTTCATCGCGTTAATGAACCGGCTTGGATAGGACGGGGTAGCATCGAGTACTACCTCAACGGCGCCTAGAGCCGGCGGTCCTGCAGTCAGTTTTTGTGACGCCACATGCTGTATTCTACGGTGGTATCACCACGGAAGGCTCCACAGGGAGAATGCGCCAGCGGTGATACGCAGGGAAGGTAACAATCGTGTACGGGAGTGGTACCGATATAACCTTCGGCATAGGGAAGATGGACCTGCTTTCATCTCTCAGGAGGAGGAGGGTGTCTATCAGTGGTACCTCAACGGGGTGTATTACGGTGACCACCATCAAGACCAGGCAATACACCCCATGGAGCTGCAGTACATCAATGTAGTGCCTACTAAGGTAGACTCGTCAGCAATAAGTCATGAGTCCATTAGTGTGATTTGTCAGGATACCCTGGACCGTCCTCTATCCAAGTTGGAGTGCGGTCATGAATTTCACTTCCACTGTATCAAGGAGTGGATCAGTTCTGCCCCCAGCCCTACTTGCCTAACCTGCCGCTACTCCATGACTGCTGAGGACTTGGTTGAGTTCTTGTAGTAATACATGACACAGCTGCATGTAGGCGACTACGAATGACCAGTCATGTGCTACAGATGGACACAGACACGCCACCCTAAGTAGCCATGAGCGGCTATTTGGACAAGGGCAACAAAGCACCCCGTGGGCGGCCAAGGTTGACACTAGCCACAAGTCTGGTCGCTCAGTTGAATAAGCTGAGTGTGCCCATGAAGACCATGGAAGACCTTTCCAGGTGCCGGCAACAAGCAGAGGACAAGACAGACTGGAAGAAACTGTGCAGCTCGACACTCGAGGACAAATCAGTATCAACAGCTACTACACCTTGCTGATGATGCTCACAAGACAGAAGTGGGAAAAAACACTGAATTTCTGTATTTAGTGCTCAACTACGCGAAATGTGTTATCATTATTATACATGTTCAACTGTACTCAATCTGGCTGACTGCCATTCTCTACCACACATTACCGGACACTGTTGTGGTTGTCGTTGTTATCGTCGTCGTTGTTGATGTTGTTGTCGGTTGTTGTCGTCGTTATCGTCGTCGTTGTTGATGTTGTTGTTGGCTGTTGTTGTCGGTTGTTGTCGGTTGTTGTCGTTGGTTGTTGGTTGTTGTTGGTTATTGTTGGTTGTTGTTGGTTGTTGTTGGGTGTTGTTGTTGGTTGTTGTTGGTTGTTGTCGGTTGTTGTCAGGTGTTGCTGGTTGTTGTTGGTTGTTGTTGTCGGTTGTTGTCGTTTGTTGGGTGTTGTTGTCGGTTGTTGGGTGTTGTTGTCGGTTGTTGGGTGTTGTTGTTGGTTGGTGTTGGTTGTTGTTGGTTGTTGTCGGTTGTTGTCGGTTGTTGTCGGTTGTTCTTGGTTGTTGTTGGTTGTTGTTGGCTGTTGTTGGTTGTTGTTGGATGTTGTTGTCGGTTGTTGTTGGTTATTTTTGGTTGTTGTTGGTTGTTGTTGGGTGTTGTTGTTGGTTGTTGTTTGTTGTTGTCGGTTGTTGTCCGTTGTTGTCGGTTGTTGTTGGTTGTTGTTGGTTGTTGTTGGCTGTTGTTGGTTGTTGTTGGTTGTTGTTGTTGTCAGTTGTAGTCGGTTGTTGGTTGTTGTTGGTTGTAGTTGGTTGTTGTCGGTTGTTGTTGGTTGTTGGATGTTGTTGTCGGTTGTTGTCGGTTGTTGTCGCTTGCTGTTGGTTGTTGTTGGTTGTTATTGGCTGTTGTTGGTTGTTGTTGGTTGTTGTTGTCGGTTGTTGTCGGTAGTTGGGTGTTGTTGTCCGTTGTTGTTTGTGGTTGTCGGTTGTTGTCGGTTGCTGTGTTTTAATCGTTATTTTGTTCATTATCCAGGAGGATGTTGCTATGATCCAGTACCATTTTTTCGCATATATGGGGACAAGTTTGTGTAACGTTAGTGTGACGTGGGGTATGCTGATTGGATGTGAGGTGGTGAGAGTATGCTGATTGGCCGATAACAATTAGTGGAGGGGATAAAGTAATGCGCTGCTTGTGCAGCGTAACCAAACACACGGTCTGTGGGAAACACCGTAGTAAAATACATAAAGTAATAATAACATGAATTGCCACCGGCACTTGAGAGACTCGAACCCCGTCACCTTGTTCAAATCGGACTTGGTAGCTTCGTACTGGAACTTAATCTTCTTCTTTTCGAGGTATGACCGTACAAAACGCGCTTGGATTTTTTCATTTATTTTATTTTTTCATTGCAACTTTTTTAGCAGATGTCCACTCGTGAAACAACGGTGAATCTGGAACGAATAAATGGTCCATGTCAAAGGCATAACGAGTCTCGAAGTCTTCACATTCATGATGGAACCTTGTCATGATTGACGCATTCCTTGATGGTGGGCACATGAACTCACCCTGGCCCATCTTTTCCAATTCCATTCTTTTCACATCCTGCATCCCATACCCTGCTAGTATCAACGGGGATGCTAGAATCAGAAGAGGCAAGGCTGCACTCTTCCGTGGATGTATTACTCGACACAACACCACCCATACTTGTTTTCTAGAAGTCTTGACTATAATGATATATTGCAGTAGGAAGTAGTATACACTCAAATAGGATAGGATAAGAATGAATGATCAGCTGTCTGATAAAGAATGCAGTTCATTACAGACTTATTGGAAGCTCTCTACCAGCCGATCGTCTTGTTGGACGGCGACACTCCATAATGATATGAAGCTCTAAGTTAGCTGTTTCAGTTCCGTGGTAGAAAGTGTCATGTGCGCGTCCAGAGCAGGATGAAAACATCTGGGCTCCACGTGGATGCAGACGATTGGAGCAACAGTAAGACGTACCTTCAACGCCTACTCGTCAATGTCGAGGGAGACTGCCCCGGGGTAGATGAAAACATCTTGTTCCACATCCAGTTCGAACGAGCTGGTCGGGACTAGCTTGCTTTCAGTGTTGATGTACACCCGACATTGACCGTCGGACGAACGTGATGGGTAGAAGTTGGTCTTGATCTTCTCCACACGTCCTCTTCGGAGAGTGTCACGGAGCGATGGACAAGTCTTGATCAAGTTCGTAATGATGAACTCAGTGGACTCATTCAGTTCGATGTAAACCTGTCCTTGAGCATCTTTGCGAGCTATTGCCGTACTACCACAGGCTGGTAGAGCTCCTGAAGGGAAGTACATCTTATAACCAGGCTTGTAGAAGGATCTACCTGATGACTTGTAGGACAGTTGCATGTCCTCCTGAAACCCATCCACCACAATCTCTTTGTGGAGCTTGGTAGGAGCAGGTGACACATAGCGACGCTTAGCCGGTACTGCCTTCGAAGAGAGCACAACTTGAGGAGG